AAGCACAAGGGTTAAAATTTTCTAAAAGGAGAAGAAAAACACCAAACAAAAGCAAAACACAACTTCTTATTTCTCATCCTGATTTTGAAATAGAAAATAAAAATTTTCCTAGTATTTTGTTCTAGGTAAATCTAACAAGTTCTAAAAAGTAGAGACAGTTGGCTCTGGTTTTCTCAATTTAAGTACTGGGCATTCACAGGAGTTTTCAAGGAAGCTCTGCTGAAGGCTCATAAATTATTCTCATCAATTTAATTATTGATGCTGAAAAAATATCCTGCATAGGATTTTTATCTTGATGGAATTCCTGGCATGGTTTTATTAGAACCTGAAGGATACTTTCCACATGGCCTCAAAATACGTTCTAAGAAGATGAATTTAAAACTGTTTCAGGGAAGGATGTTTGGAATCATCCCAGGTCTTTGGTAATTTAGACATCAAGTGGGTCAGGCTCTCTCCCAGTCTTCTTTCAGGGGCTTAGCAAGACGTCTCCTTGGTAACATGTCTGCGGGCTGCTCAGCTGCGTGGCGTCAGCCTCACTCTCATGGAATGGGAGTACAGTGTCCCCCTGGGGATTTTGGTAGCCTTGGCCTCTCACTTGTGCCACATTACTGGCAGAAAGGAATTTCAGCTGGGATTGAAGCAATTTAGTGTTCTCAGTGGTCATTTAGGTTATTGGTGGAATTTCCCAGCCAACCATTTGGGAAAGATTACAGCCTAGTAGCAGCAGATTGGGTTGTTGAGTCTTACTTACTTGTAGCCCAAATGAATGTGTCTAAATATGAAGCACTCTTTGTGGACGGGGGTACGGCAGTCTCTCCTTACGTATGACACCACATATATGGTGGAAGTCAAGTGGTGCAGGGCATTCGGCCTGTTTCTCTTGAATCTACCTTTTATAAAATATCTTCTGTTTCTTTGCTTTGCATTTTGAGTTTTTGCTAATTTGGAAGTTAGAGCTGATAGCCATAGAGGTGAGTAAAGAGTCGTATACATATATATCCATCCATGCATAAACATAGCCACATGTGCATGTATCTAGTAGAGCTGACTGTAAATTAATCTTTGAGAAAACAGGCTGTAAATGAGGTATTCAGTGTAAGTGTTAAGTTTCATGTGAGATTCAAATTCAGACAACTGACTCTGACTGGCTACAATTCACAGATGCTTTTAAGAAGCTTAAGATGCGTTTAAAAAGCAAGTCTAGAAAGAAGTAAGGACGTAACCAATTGAGAGACTGACATCTCTCATGTCGTAGCCAGAGGCATCACCAAGAACCTGAACAGATGTGGTGGGAAGTACGATAACGAGAGTCATAATGCATTTCAGTATTTTATAAAATCACTATACTGCATGCATTTGTTGCATATTTAAATGTTTTGTTGGTTCTTCTAAGAACATATAGCAGGAAATACCTTAACAAAACCCTCTCTATAATAATTTACAGAAATGGAGTTTATGTGGGACTATCATAACATATAAACATGTTCTGAGTTAGAACAGTTAAGTATGATTTCTAGCCTATCTGTAGACATGGTAGATTATTAGTTCAAAGAACTGCTGGAGTTGGGTTCAAAGCTTGGAGTTCAGTCAAAGAACTGCTGGTTTGGTTTGTTTGTTCTGTACCCTTGCCCCTCAATCTAAGACCTGCCCTTCTTCAGGTTTGGAAAGACAATCGTTTTATATTCATCTTTCTTTATTCAAAAAGGAGCTTGAAAATAGTCTTCTGATAGCCATTCTATAAAATGTATCCCCAAGTGTATGTTAGCCTGTTACAGTTGTTAGTTCAAGTTGGCTAATGCTCTTGATCCACCCCCATTCTTTGTTTCCCAAGTTCAAATTCAAGAAGACACAAAGATATCTAGGTAGAAAAACTCAAATAGATACTTTTAAGGAAACAGAAGCAAATGGCTTCCTACAGAAAATATATTCAGACTGTCTCCACAGAAAGGTATCATAAGAAACTCGCACCTACATTTAGGTTATTCTCACTTTAAAAACCAGATCATTGTAGCTCTCCTTATTTGCAACTTACCTGTGCGAAAACTGGTCAGTACTTTCCCCACTTAAATTTTTTAAAAAGGGTTACCCCCGATAGTCACCACTTTGTAGGATAAAAGTTGTCCTGAGAAAGGTCCTGGGAATAGAGCAGTTAAAAGAAAAACTATAATTTTACATTTTCCACACTCCTTTCCAAGTATGGGAGCCCACACATACTGCTCAGCAAGTTTGTCACGACTCTTAAAAGATTGGCCATTTTATAATATGAGGTAAAAGTAGTTGCTATTTATCTGAGCAACGATAAATGTTTTTATCAGAGACAACAGAATGTAACAAAATGTGATAGAAACTGTTTAGTCTGTTTCAAGGATGTGGCAGTGAAAGACAGTAATTGTCTTATCCCATTATTTTGCTCTTTTTTTTTTTTTTTAATTCTTTCCTGATTCTTGTCCCCCAGATTTAAGCCTTAGGATCAAGGCAAAAAGATTGCATTTCAGCCATGAATTGTAGAAGATTTTGAATGAAAATCATTACTTTTTCAGGGAATTAGTGTCAGTTTCTTAAGAAGGAAGAAATATTGGGCAGCAGTTCTCATTTGAATGACATTCCCAGAAAAGCATTAGTAAGTCTCAACACAGTAGGGCCATTTGAGATGACTCAGCAGAGATGGTGCTTTGCCCTCTCTGGTCTCCTTTCAGAGGGGCTGGTGGGAAGGAAGCTTTCCATTGGTAATGCACACAGGTCTGCCTATCATTCCACATCAAAGACACAGTGGGCAAGTCACCAACTGCAGAGCCAGTTAGAGCACGTTTTGGGGTCCGGATTCTTGAGAGAGCTACTTAATGAGATGGAAATTTTGCCCCAGATTTTCAGCTGTGCTTTTCTCACTTCAAAAGAAATTCCTGAACTAAGCGATTCCCCATAGTTAGAAGCGTTTTTTAAAGAAAAAACTACTTCATATTTTCATTCCTCTTGGCAATGCCTAAAACTATGGCAAGAGAAATTCTAGACTCCTTGATTTTTATGCAGATGATTCAAACCAGATGATCATAACCTTTTCATGGAAGCAATAGGTACATTTAGTCCCCAGAGGCCTGGGCTTATTCTAGAGCTTCAGGGGAGAGGCCCCACAGAAGGATGTGTGTGTTTGAGATAAGGAAGAGGATCTCTGGTGGCGGCCCCTGGGCACAGTTAAAGAGGGCTGCTTAGATGCTGACTGGCCAGCTGAACAGCCTGATTAAAACACAGAGAAACTTAGACCTTTCTCTGCTTGCTTTTGCCACATCAGAACCTCTAATTTCTCACGGGAGGCGACTTAGATCAATAAGATTAGAATTTTCAGTAGGCAGAATCTTTTCATGTGTGATGTTCTTTCTGATTATTTTTTAATGTGTCTAGTGTTTCCCCTTAAATTCCCTGTTAATCCTGTTATTTTGTTCTCTAGATACTTGGCTTGGTGTTTTCCATGGTCCTATATTGCCAGATCGGGAACAAATGAGTCTGTGGATGTGTCAAGCTATATCATCAGTCGAACCCCTTTAAAATTTTGCTTCGGCTTTGTAACATTAAATATGTAAGTGCTACATATATCAGGAGTAACTGTCCTATTATAATGTCTCATTTAGCTAGACCACAGGCATCTTCTAGACATACTGAACGTATTTAAGATTTGAAGGCTCTAACAACGATATGAATGTGTATTTTTACTCAAAATAAAAGAAATGCGGTCTACTTTGGTGCTTTTCCATGTCTGATCATTGTATTCAGGTGGTACTGTGCTCACAGTGTTGATCTGGAGCCCCCCAGTGGAGTAATCTTCATCACCAGGTGACAGGCCTAGACAGCTAAGCTGACAGTCGGGGAGTTTTCAGAAACAACAGTATCTTTTATGCAGTCTGCCAACCACCGGGGATACAATTGAATTAAGTCTGAAGCTGCAGTATTTGGGAGTTGCCATCTCTTTCCATTTATGGCAGTGACTACCAATGGTGGTGTCTCTCCCTCCCTGCACATTTATTGTGGAAACAAGAAGATCTGAGTGTGCTTCCCAGCCATCACGCCTCTGGGAGCTCTGCCTTCCCCTGGGACTCAGCAGTTGCAACTTCTCCTTTTGTCTAGTTCTCAGAAACATTTTAAAATTTGCTTTCCATGGAAATATAATATACCTACAGTCAAGTGAATAAATCTTAAGTGTGTAGCTCTGTGAACATGTAACACCTGTGTAAGCACCGTTCCGACCAAGATGTGGAACATTTCTAGATACCACATGCTCCTCTGTGTCCTGCCGAGGAGTGAGCTGTGTCCAGCTCACACACCCTGACTGGCCTTGCCACATGTATCTCTTCCCAATCTGTGTTCAGTGACAAGGTACACTGGTAGCTTGACGTCTACCATGGTGGTGGCAGGATTTATACCATGAAAATTTGCAAATGCTGTTAATTCAGGGTTTTTCTGCTTTCCTTTCTTTCCTTTTCTTTTTCTTTTCCTCTCCCTCCGTCTCTCTCTCTTTCTTTTTCTTATTCTCTTCTCTTCTTTTCTTTCTTTCTTTCTTTCTTTCAGAGCTGAGTGGTCAACATTTACTGATGCACTGCCCCTCTCTCTCTAAGTACTCCCTTAGAGATAACCACTCCTCTGACTTCTGTGACTGTAGACTTGTTAGCCTGGTTTGGAACGTCCTCTAAGTGGAATAATAAAGCATGCACTCTGGCTTTGTCGGTTTTGCCCGTTGCTCATGAGATTCATCTATATTCCTGCGCAAGATTCATCTATATTCCTGCATGAGATTCATCTATATTCCTGCACGAGATTCATCTATATTCCTGTGCAAGATTCATCTATATTCCTGCGCAAGATTCATCTATATTCCTGCACGAGATTCATCTATATTCCTGCACGAGATTCATCTATATTACCGAGTGACATTCATCTGTATTCCTGTGTGCAGCTGCAGTTCGCCCCAGTTGGTGTGCAGTATTCCATCCCGTACAGATAGATCACAGTGTAGCTGTTTATTCTTCTGGTGAAGAGCATTTGGTTTCCTCTCTGGCCAATTATAAATAAAGCTTCTATGAACATTCTTTTGAGTGTCCTTTGTTCCATAAATTGTCCTTATTTCTGGATATACACACTGAAGTAGAACTGCTTTGTAAACATAGGTTTAATTTTAATAGTTCCAAAGAAATTTTCTAATGTGGTTGTGTTATTATGCTAACTAGAAATATAGAGACATTCAGGGTTGCTGCTTGTTCAAGGGGCTAGTTTGGTTACAAAAGGTGGGGGGGGGAGGGGTTTAGCAAGCCCTTAACAAAATGGAGTACGTCTGGTTCACTTGCTCAAAATAGATGGAGTTAGGGCATCCTAGTACCATTACTAGACCAATTTGCAGATAGGGAAACTAGGGCCCAGAGAGTTCAACTAGCACTTCTTGGGTCATGCAACTACTCAGTGCAGGTGTTGTGATTCAAGTCTAAGAGACTCAAACCTGTCACTGTGTCATTTTGTCATATCTTACAGTGTTATTGGCTGAAATTGATAAGGAAATGAATATTAAAGTGTCTATTGCATCACATCAGGTACATGATGGGGGCTCAATAAATATTATCTGGTATTAATTATATAAAGAACCTGTGTTAGTCAGCATTAGCTGAAAAACAGAAACCCTTCAGCTATTTCAAACAACAGGACTATAAGGCCGGGAACTGCTCTATTCATGTCAGCCCCAGACGCCACAAGAAAATGCAGCCAAGTGAGTGACGTAAGCAGCAGAAACATCTTTTCTCAGAGTTCTGGAGGCCAAGAAGTCCAAGATCAAGTGCCGGCAGATTCAGTTCCTGGAGTGGCCTCTCTTCACAGCTTACAGACCAACTCCTTGCTGTGACTTTACATGATAAGGAAAGAGAGTGAGCGAGAGAGCGAGAGCCCTGATGTGTCCTCTTCTGAGGACAGTATCAGCTCAGGGCATCATCCTTACACTCTTATTTAACATTAATTACTTACTCCAAATACAGCCACAGTGGGAGTTACAGTTTCTTTTTGACATTTGAATCTTAGAGGGGCATGATCTAGCCTATAACAACTATGTGCATAGGTGACAGAAAAAGCAAGAAGCTAAATGGGATCATCAGGGTAAGCCAGAGATTAACAACAGAGGGGAGTGGCTGCCCCCCTTACTCACCGAGGGACAGAGATAATTTTACCAGACTGCAGGACCCAGCGCCACCTTGAGGAAGAAGGAAGCCATGGCACAAGCCACAGAGGAAGGGTGGCCTAGCAGAAATGGGAGCCATGAAGGTGACTCTGCAGCTCAATCAGAAGAGAGAACAGAGAGAAATGCCCTGGCTTCTTCCCATGTGCCCAGTCCAATCACTGTCAAACCCTCCATTGGCTGAGCCCCTAAGAAGCCAGAAAACAAGGGGGCTTGGGAAATGTAGTTTCCTCTGATAGAAAGCAGAGCAAGGCTCATACTGAGAGCAAACTGGGGAAAGACTGTTAGAGCAGGCACAGAGGCAGTGAACTTTCTGCAAAAAGGGTATGAAAATTGTGTGCAGTACAACATAGAATCTTTGTAAAAAGTTTCTTAGATTCTTTCTCTTTTGTCTCAAGTTTACAGCACTTTAGGGACAGAGAGGACTTACTGAGACTCGTCTTCACTGGGGCCATCTGGCAACATCTGGAGACACCTTTGGTTGCTACAGGTGGCATAGGAGGAAGGTGTCACTGGCATCTAACAGCAGAAGCCAGACAGAAATGCTTCTAAACACTTCACCATGCACAGTAAAGTGCCCACAACAAAGAATTAGTCTGCCAAAATGTCAGTAGGGCTGTGGTTGAAAAACCCTGCTTTAGAGAATTATATATAAACAACAAAATATTCTCCCTGAGGACAGTAAGTTTCACGCTACTGTGGAAAGTAACTGGAGTCAGAAGTCGTCCTAGACCAGGCACTGACAGCTTGTTTGTTCTGTAATTTTGCAAGTCACTTGAGTTTCCTCATCTTAAAATTAATTTTGTCAAAAAGATATTTACGTCTTCTAGTGTTACTAAAATTTCTGAATGTACTCACTTCTTCCTTGTGCTTAGTTTTCTCCTGCAGGCATTTTTATATATCAATATTTACTGATAGTTTACCTAGGTTTTAATTTTATTCTTTGGTCCTGGAGGTGATTACAAAGGAAGATTTTACTCTCACGAAAGCTACTAGATTCAGATTTAAGAATAAACTTACTCTTTACCTAAATGCTTCCAAGATCAAACCATAATATTCAAAATATATTAGATTTAATTAAATTCTTTAAGAACTGTAGAAAGAACAAAATAAAAGGAAACTCTCATCAAATTGTTGACTCAGTGTAGATGGAAATGTTTCTTCCAGTTCAGAGAGATGTAAGAATTACCTTCATTATGCCGAAGAGTACCCAATTACACTAATTTACAGACAGGAAATTTACATAAGAGTTTGGCAAATGCTTCTTAAATCTGTCCACTTCCCTATCTGTCTTATCTCTCACAGTCTCTCCTGAGGAAAGGTCACTGCAATAATCTCATGATGGTTTTTTCTACATTTGTTTCTTCCTTCTTCATATTACCCTTGGTTCTGCGGGAATAATCTCCAGTGCAGATATTATCAAGTGGTATTACTTTCTCCCAAGATTAGAGAATCTTTACTGGTCCTGCACTGACTACAGGCCCTTCCTAAGCACTGGAGTCCACCTTTCCTGCCCATCTGCAGACATTCGTCCATGTCCATGCCATGGACCTTCACATTTCTGCTCTTCTGTCACACCTTTGTCTCCTTGCCATGCTGCTCCCTAGTCCCAGAATAAACTGCATATTCATGTTGTTGGATTCTTCAATGTCATCTACATCAAATGTCACCTCCTCTATGAAGCTTTTCTGGATCCAAACAGGATCAGATTTATTTTATACTCATTCACATTTTTGCATAGTATGTTACACTAAAATATCATTTATCCTAATATATTTTGGCTACTTTTCATTTCTGAATTTTATTATAGGTTCCCTGAATTGAATTTATATTCTAGGCCCTAGCATGTTACCAGGAATATATACTACATCAATGAGCATGTGTTGTCATTAATATCATCTGGTCCATTTGAAAGAAGGTATTATAGGCGTGAGCCACTGCGCTCAGCCTCCCAAGTGTGGGGATTGCAGGTGTGAGCCACTGCGCCCAGCCTCCCAAGTGCGGGGATTGCAGGCGTGAGCCACTGCGCCCAGCCTCCCAAGTGCGGGGATTGCAGGCGTGAGCCACTGCGCCCAGCCTCCCAAGTGCTGGGATTGCAGGCGTGAGCCACTGCGCCCAGCCTTTTGTTTTTACTCTAAAAGGCAGTTTCTTTTTCCACATGGAAGTATGAACATATTATCATATAAAATAAAATACAATGACTGAATTCTTACAAAATTGTTTAATTATTTTATAATTATGCTAACACATAATTAAATGAGACGCATATCATTTATCATTCTAAGAAAATTAAAGTGTCATAACAGATATTTCTCTGTGAGGAAGAGAGAAAAACAGATTATCTCTTAATCTGTCTAAGGCACTGATGACAGCAAAATGGTTCGTGAGAGGAGTTTGCTTAGTTGCTACCTCCATTTCCTTTTTCTTACAATGAGTGGTGATCAAGAGCCATAAAACCTGGAGTCGGAATCACTGGGGCTCAAATAATGGCTTCACCACCTAGTAGCTGAGTGATC